GAGACAGACACCAGGATGAACAGACTTTGTGGAGATTTTAAATGGTACTTATTGCACAGCAAAGTGAAACTTCTGAATAGTCCTAGGCTGGAGACAGAGATTCAGAAGGTACCCATGTATGGAGCCTAAAGTCTTATTGGAAGGGTGGCAAAGCACAACAGCAATACAATCTGCTTTTTCTACAAAACTCCTTCCAACATATTCTTTCACTTGTTTAGGTGTATGCATAAGTATGCAAGTATGTACACGTGCATATGAGTGTGTGTGCATGCCATGATGCTTGTGTCAAGGTCAGAGAAAAATCTCAGGTGTTAAGGCTTGCCTTTTTTTTTTTTTTTGAGGTAGGTGTGTGCCAGGCTATCTGAGCTACAAGAATTCTCCTGTATCCATCTCTCACCTTGCAGTAGGAACACTGGGATTACAAATGTGTGTTTTTGTATCTAGCTTCATGTTGGTTCGGGGAATATGAACACAAGTCCTTATGCTCGCATGGTGAGCACTTCACCTCCAGAACCATCTCTGCAGACCTGTAAATGTATACTTCAGCTTGCAGCTTATGCAACCCACTATAGATACGAAGGGAGGAAGTAAGAGAGGTGGCCTTTCCAAGTACAGGACTGATAGTCTACAAGCAAAGATAGATGAGACAGAAATTTAAACTGATCTCTCATCTATAAGTTATATCAGAGTGATCTCAGTCTTTTACTATCTATAGAAGATTGTCCCCCAGATAGCATTCTGAAAAAACATATTTGTTCGAGACACAAATAAAATGTACATAAACACACCCTAAACAATTAATCTTTCCCATAGCAGCATAGGACAAATACATCCCACCCTCAGAGATAGCAATTATAAAAGCAATAGAGTTAGAGTGCTGAGGAGCCTGGGTGCTGAGGGTGAGGTTTCCTAGGAAACTAAAACCCTCCCAAGCACAAATATTGTGAAATCCAGAACTCCCTAATGTTCTATTCTAAACCCTGCATATTTAGAAATAAAGGGCTTTTCAAGTAGTCAAAAATGAAAGCAAACACACAAACAAGCAAACAAAACCACTTTCCACTGATCCAGAACCAAAAGCTATACAACAAAATTCAGGAGGGAAATGCTATCAGGCTTTGGCAAATAAAACCCAATACAATGACAAAATAATCACACAGCCTACACACTCCCAAAGCAAGTCCAAGTCTTTCCGATAATACTGTATTCTGAGGCAGCAAGGGGTTTCTGCCCATGTCTTTTCTTCTTTCTTGTTTGCCTTTCTTTTTTAAACATTTAATTTAGATAAGAGAGGGAAGGTCAGAGTTGTTTTATATGAATTCCCAAAATATATGACAAAAGCTATTTCAAAGACATATATTACCTTAAAATATACTTTGTAAATTAAAGTTTTGCTACATAGAATTCTTTTGGGAATTAACAAGAATTGATGCAGAAGATAATAAAAATAAAACAAAACATAAAACAACTACTTGAACTACCATGGGAATCACTTATAAAAGTTAATTGTATTTTACCCATTCTAATAAAATAGCATTCAGTTACAACAGGATCTATAAAATGAAAGAGTTCAGATTAAACTGAGCAAAGCCCATATGCTGAAAACTTTAAAATGTAGGCTAAGTTTAATAAAAGACCTAAATAGAGAAACAAGTTGTGCTTATGAATTAAAGCTCAAATTTAAGTTGTTAACTGTTCTCAAGTTTTTGTTCAGAGTCCATGCAGTTCCAAACAAGATGTCTACCAACAAGTCTCAAAATTTGATTTAAAAATTCATATGAACAATCTAGTTTTAAGAATGCCAAAGTTATTTTATAAAATAATAAATGATAAAAGAAAGGGAAATATAATGTAATAAAGGAATAAAGTACACCTAGTTTTAAGATTTACTTTAGAGTTGTGATATTGCATAATTTTGATACAAGAACAGATGCATAGAACAGAATAATGCACACAAAAATATGATCAAGTAATATATTAACAAAAAAATTCATCACATTTGTGTGTGTGTGGTGTGTATTGGGTATTTTGTGTGTGTGTTGGTGTGTATGGGAATTTTTTGTGTGTGTGTGTGTGGTGTGTATGGGTATTTTGTGTGTGTGGTGTGTATGGGTATTGTGTGTGTGTGTGCGTGTGTATGGTGTTTATGGGTATTTTGTATGTGTGGTGTGTATGGGTATTTTGTGTGTGCCATAGCACTTGTGGACTTTAGTAAGCATCTTCCCAGGTTTGTTTTCTCTTTCTACTGTATGTGACCCAAGGATTGAACTCAGGCTGTCAGGCTTGGCAGCAAGCACTTTACCTGCTGATCCTTCTTGCTGGCCCAGGCAATTGATTTTTGACAAGGCTACCAAAGCAATTTAGAAAATTAAAGTTCTTTTCAACCAAGGCACTGAATATAGGCCATCCCTGTGAGTGAATTATGTCAGATGCAAATGAGTACATATTACTTCATTTCCATATTTTAGAATACAAAATAAAAATTCCTGTGAAAGTTAAATCATTGACTGGACCACAGGTCAGTGAAGGAGGGGCTGACACATGAAAAGGCGTCTTTCTGAGAGGATCAGAAATGGTCCCGTCTAATGAAATGCAATGTATTCTGTGTGATTTACACTTCGATAAAATTGATTCCTAAAAGGGAACTGAAAACCAAAGAAACATGAATGGGTACAAGTTACCATGTTGTAACTGGCATATCCAATGCAGATACACAGCTTTGTTCATTAGGTCATTCAAACATCCACCACGTTTAGATCGGGATTTACCAAACAAATCGACCCAGTGCACCCACCAAAAGTTAGTTGTTTTCTGCCTAATTCCTCTCAGATACTAAGAAATCTCAGTAAGTGTGGTTCGTGTTAACAAAGCTTTCGCTAGCAGCCACCAAGAGAAGATGCTCTCAACTGAGAGTCTGAGTAGGACGGGGATGTCTGTGCCAGGTTTGGTCTACGATTGGGTCTGTTCCAGACACTTGACGGTTCTTGGGCCAACTCCTCTTTACATATGTTTCTGCTGGTGAGCACATGATCAAGTCATTGATCTCTTTACTTTCAAGAGAAGTAAAATTGAGGTCTATTTGGACTTCATCTCATTAAAATCTGAAGAGCATCCTGATGAAATGATACAGATGCCCACTGAGAAACCTGCCCATACTGAGGACCTGTTCTCCATGACCATTGCCCACACATTCCCCATCCCATCTCTAAAGTAAACATTACCATCTTCTTCTTTGCCCATTATAGACACTGGTCCTCAGTGAGGCCTGATCATTTGCCCAGATTCACCCAGTCAGTGGCACAGCGGAGATTTCCATCTCTGGGGTCCTTAAAGTGATAGGTAATATATTTCCATACAAACCTGAAGTAAATAAATGCAAAGACCTTGGAGTTCTGATTCTAGTATTAGTCATTTTGCATTGACAAAAAAAAAGTTCAGAACACAGATGATATTATCTGGGGCTTTTGATCATCATCAAAATTGTACTAGGCAATCAACATTTGAAAATGATTCATTTATATCTTTAGAGAGGAAACACTACACAAAACAAAGTCAGTGTCTTTAGTGACCGTCTCTAAATCTGGGGAGAGTTATTACTGGTTATAAAAGAAAAACAGAAATGGGCAATACACACAACTAACAAATGGGCAGAATACTGCTCGGCGGTGGTAGCGCACACCTTTAATCCCAGCACTTGGGAGGCAGAGGCAGGCGGATCTCTGTGAGTTCGAGACCAACCTGGTCTACAAGCGCTAGTTCCAGGACAGGCTCCAAAGCTACAGAGAAACCCTGTCTCAGAAAACCAAATAGCAGAGTACTAAGGAAGATTCCTGGGTAACTGGGCAATTCCCACTCAACTAAGCAATAAAACAGCTGCTTAGCCTGACTTACTGTCGTTGTCAGAGAAAACCAGACAGACACTTCCAACTGGGACATTTGTAAATTATTTATCCAAAATACAATCACCCATGAAAACATTTTTAAGGCAATGAAATATAAAAAAGAAATGACCTGATAGATACTTCCTGATATCAAAATGATCTCCAGAAGGTGAAGTTACGCAAACATCCATAAGGAAGAGAAAACATGAAAAACCATTCATTAAACTAACTTAACCCTAATTCTTCTGTACATCTGTGGCAAGTCAAAGTCAGAACCTCATTAATAAACAATCAAATTCATTATCTATATTCAGATTTTCAGCAACACTCCTCTCCTCTCAGTTACGAGACCCAATAGTGTGGTATCCCAGCATCTACTTACACACATTTACATCATGGAGATGTCCCAACGTTCTGAGACATTTCTAATATTTACTTTTAGTAAATAAAGAATGGAATGTTCCTGACAATCAAGCACTTAAAGTCAAGCATTTATGTAGTGAGAAAGATAATTTTGCCTTAAATTTTAAAACACATTTATAAGTCATCTCTATCTGACATTCTCGCTTCCTCCCTGTCTCAGAAATCCTAGGTGTGTGTGGATTCCAGGGACAGCATCATGGAGGTGGCAATGCCACCATCTGACTCCAGGGATACGTCCCTTTCTGTGTTTATCACAAATTCACAGTTCAGTCACAAGTGAATGTAACTATCCACCAGAGGGAGAGAAGGGAAGGGACGGAGCACAAGCTGCCATCTGCTTTCCTCCCCCAGCATCCCTGGAAATGAAGACAGGGTGGGAGTCTCTCCTAGAAATGAGAGCAAAGTGTTCCTCATACTTGGCCCACTGACGCGTCTTTCGGCAACATTTGGCCCTGGCAGATGAGACAGCCACAGAGGCACAGTGTGATAGTAGCATGGAGCCCAACTGTGGGATTCAGCAGTAGCAGAATGGGCCTGTTCAGGTCTAAAGGTGTCTGGGTGCCCTATATGATGATGAGCGTGGCTCTCAGTACCCTACAGACATCCTCATGTTTTGTTGCCTCACAGGTCCCCAGCATTCATTTGTTTAGGCACTGGCATTCACACCCCTCAGTATTCATCAGACAAGGTACTCACAGTTGCATGACCAAGTACAGGTGATTCGGACTTTCATAAATATCTTCCAGGGCAACAATGTTTTCATGTTTTATCCTAAAAGTAAGAAAAGAAAGCACACACACAATGGTAAGGACAATTATACTTGAAAAGAAAGGTCATGACGGGGAACAAAAGTGACATGATAGAATCCCAATTCCTTGATAAGACATTGAAGACTTTCCACCACATGGTTCCAAATGTATTTCTCAACTTCATACTCCCTCAATCCCTTCTCTTCATCATTTCTAAGGCCTCGGGAGCCCACAGCTGGTAACACTGCACTGGATGCTGCTGCTGAACATGGATGCCATGGACCAAATCTCTCAATACTATATGTTCTCACATAGCTGCACGTCAAATGGTTGAACTTCCTGGGTAGCACATAACTGCTTTCCACTGTCTCAATGCAGGGCCTGCAGATGAGTCTAAAGAACCACCTATGTGTGGGTTCATCCCTCCTAACAGCCAGTATACCCCAGGGAACAGATTCATGGTCAAGTTCATGAATCCAGTACAAGCAAAGGAAAACCAGGCTGACCACCTCACTGGAGTTCACACTTATCCCGCCAGCAAACTCAGTTTCCCAAGTGAACTAACAGGGAAAGCTAATTTCATCTCAAATTTTAGAAACAATACATGTTCAAATCGCCTTGTAGACAGAAGTTTCTGTACCACCCTGTCCCACAGCCATTAAGTTCCAAAGTGGCTTACATTAATTATAAACTATTTGGCCTATTAGATCTTACAATTTACATTAACCCATAATTTTTGTCTATGTTTAGCCATGTGGCTTGGTATCTTTTCTCAGTGAGGCATTCTCATCTTGTTTCCTCTGTGTCTGGCTGGTAACTGTGACTCTGCCTTTCCTCTTCCCAGAAAACTCCTAGTATTTGCCCCACCTATACTTCCTGCCTGGCTACTGGCCAATCAGCATTTTATTAAACCAATACAAGTAACAAATCTTTACAGTGTATAAGAGCATTATCCCTCAGCATCACCTATCTCTGGATAGTCAGATTTCTTTCTCCTGATATCCTGTTATTCCTGATATTCCTGTTAGAGAATTACAAGCATAATCTCATAACTAAGGATCATCAATAAGTTCTTAAGAGGCAGTCCTTAAATCTTCTGGAGAGTTTGGCACAAATGCAAATTCTCAGGCTCTGACTGGATAATACAAGACCAGGGCAGAGCCCAGCAGTCTTCATTTTAAGACCCCAGACAGTGTGTATACAAAAAGATATGAGAGACAAGGGGATTAGATCAGTAATTTTCAAATTTAAGTGCATAAATAAAACCCCTGGGGATCTGATGACAAGGCAGTTTTGATCTAGTGGGTCCAGGGTAGGAATTAGCATCTATATTTCTCACCAAAGTGCAGATGCTGCTGGCTTAGGACCACACCGAGTATCAAAGTCTCCAACAAAGGCAGCCCAAGAAGGAAACAGATTCATTCTAGCTCTTATAACTCTCCACAGAGAGCAGTTTCTGCTCAGAATGTCAAGCTCAATATTTATTTAATGCATATGAGGGAAGAATCATTTCATTCCTCAATGAGCTAATTAGCTCTTACCACATGCCTTTTGCTGACATTCCTGATGAACCACTTAAAGACAAGATGGAGCTTGCAGACTCTTGGGAGCCCCTTGAAAGTAGATTCACACAACTCATTTGTTTCCCCTCTTGTGTCTATAACAGATCTGCTTAATAAATATTTGCTCAAATAATGGATGGGTGAAATGTAAAGGCCATTGCCACTAAACAACAAGAAACAACATCCCATATGTAGTTTGTGAAAATGGAGGGATTGCTTCCCTGAGTATCAGATGGCTTCTTCTGCAAAAAGAAAGCTGAAGGGTGAAACGAACATGAGGGTTCTCTTGATTAGAGTTGGAAGAAGAGAAGATAATTAGCAAAGAGTGGCAATGCTCTGCTTTTATTTCTGCAGCTCTTATTAGTTAACATGGTTGTTTGTGGGAGTTAAAATAATTACACTAAATTCACATTTCACAGGCCTCCCATGCAAGGCACCTACTTACCTGTCAGTATTAGTTACTGTACAAGTGAAGCAAAAGGGTATCAGCAATGAGTTTATACCACTATATCAAATAAATCATGCTACCAAAGAAACAGCCAGAACTTAAATGGGGACAACTAAGATCTTGGATATTTGTGGAGTTGTCATTATTGGCTATACATGAGGAATATTATCAAAGAAAGTGTATATTGTGTATATTTTTTCCTTCATAAGAGCATAAATATTTCCACTTAGTCACATTAATTTGGGCTGTCAGGGCCTAGATTTATAGGAAATTGAGATGAATGGGATCACATGGAGGGCTGCTGAAGAGAAAAATGGAGTCACAGTTACCTCCAAATTCTAGAAAATAACACACACCTTTAAAGTATAAATATGTTCCACATATTGCACTGTTATGAATATAGAATATAAGTGTCTCTGGGACTCTTAGGCTTTGATATGCTGAATCTTATCACACCTGGGCTTAAACTGGCACCTATGGTCCCGGCAATTTTTGGAAGTTGATCCAAGAAGACTGTTTGGGCCCAAGAATTCAGTCATTCGGCAGTTAATAGCCATTTCACTATATACAGAGACAGTCGGCTGTGTACAAAACATTAGCCTAGCAAAAAAAAGGTAGGCTATAACAAAGGCCACAATGCCCAACTTGGGTGTGTAGGACAAAGAACCTGCTATGTCTTAACTGAGTGTTGATAGGACATTAATTTTTGTATCCATTGGAGCATTCCAGAGAGGAACCACAGATGGTAGGGACAAACCAAAATGAAAGAAAATGGCTGAGAAGACATTAGGAACTCTCCCTCTCAACCAGTGTTTCAGAGAGTCAAGCAACGTGTCTTTCACTGGGTTTCCTGTATCTGGAAGGATACAAGAAAAAACAAAAGGTTCTATCTTCAGAAAGCTTGTCTCAGTGGAGCAAGCCATGAACAATTAAGTATTAAACACCAAACTCTAAAACTCTTGTATTGTATTTAAGGTTACAGAAAGCTGGGTCCTGTGTGGGTCAGAATTATGGCAATGATCTCAACAAAATGATGGGGCTGAGTTGTGTTGCGATGGTTAATGCTTGAATAAGCATACTTGAGTGATTTCAAATAAATCCTAAAATGGCCTCTTCAAGAAAAGTGGTTTAATTAACTTGGAGCTGTTAGAACATGGTAAAAGAAAACATTCTGGCCTCCTACATCTGCTTTTAATCACTAACTCCCCCTCCAGACTCCTTGGGATAGAGACAGACTAAACTCACCAGTTTAAAATTTATAGATTATCATTACAAAACACCTGACACCATCCATTTCTGCCGCAAGGACAGGGTCTGCGCCACAAATGTCAACCACAGCTGTGTCTGCTCTTTCCCTTATTCATTCAACAGATATCTGCTGGGAGTCTGCCTCGGGCCAGGCACAGTCCTTGGCATGAGGAATTTAGTGGTGGGCAAGACACTGAAGCCATTCCAGCCCCAGGGAGCACACACAGACTACAGCTAAGAAATCTTCCCAGGGAGCCTGGCAGTCCCTGGAAATTAGCATTCATGCCATTAATCATTTACAATGATTACATTACAACAACAATCAATTGTTGTTGGGAGCAACAGAGATTAAGCCTACAGCATCTGCCTGCAGACTGGTGAGGTTCATAATGCCTCCTTCTAGTATTTTCTTCTTGTCATCAATCCATCGTCCATCAACAATCTTACAACACAGTCGTTATGCCTCTTACCACTCCGTGGGCGTTCATTTGACCAGACTGTTTTTCAAGCAAAAGTAATGACCCAGGTGTGAAACACAGCGATCATAGGGCCTTAAGTAATCCGGGAAACTCTTAGTTAGCAGGCGCTAGACATTATGCATATGCAAAGAAATGGTAATGTAAGGTTCCTGCTTTCGTGATCTGAGTAAGTGTTCGCACATGAGAAGGTAGGGAATCTTAATGATTTCAGTCACTGCTGTCTTCCTAGTGCCACAGAAGGGTGTGACAGAGAGTACACTTCATAGACATTTGCTGAAGGAATGAATGAATGAGTGAGTGAATGAATGAAAATAAGCTCAAGCCCATTAAGCCACCTACTCATTTTCGCTTGCAATTTTACCAAATCAGATTTTGTTTCTCACGCAGGCTTAGCCTTTGGAAGTTAAAGTTTTTACCTTTCACTTTTTTTTGTTTGTTTTGTTGATGTTGCCATAGTTTCGGCACCTCTGGGGATTGACCCCAGTATCTAGAGCATGCTAGGCAATCGCTCTACCACTGAGCAGCAGCTCCATCCCTAAGCTTCATCGAACTAAGTCCTTTTCCATATCCATGCAGGGCGTTAGATAGCCATGGTATTCTAAATCTTGATTCATTCATCCATTGTATTTACCACTCTTCCCAGCTTTGGGCCATTTGCTTATTTGCTGGGTACCCATGCAGGGTGCTCTTTTTTAAATTCCTACTTAAAACTTTAAATAGGAAAGTTGTATTCCACAAGAGACGCCCCCCCACCAAGTTAACTGACATTGATCAATGGGCTTTGATTGCCATTTAGTTGCAAACTCCAAAGTACGATCATTGAGCCCATATTTTACCATTTATTCATGAGACAACCAGAAACTTTGCTGAAATGACATTTCTCCACGCTATATGCCATGCGAGACTATTTAAAAAAGAAATTGGGTGTTCGGGAAGATTTGTTCTTAGGAAACCCGCGTTGGCTCCTAGCAACCACTACAGTCTTTACTAAATGATCACAAACCATCTGCTTAATTTCCTATTCCAGAATGTTACCGTGTACTGAGGTCCAGCTTCTCAGGCTGTAGATCTCAGATTCTACTGTTTTGTGTTTACAAAACGTGACGGTATCTCTGACATTGTTTCCCTAAACATCTCAACTATGATTCTTTTGTAATAAGTGCAGTTTCCTCAGCCCCCTGGGACGTAGCAAATCCAAACTTAGCAATGAACCAGTTTCATCATTTTATTTTGAGTCTGCTCACAGCGCTGTCTTATTACATGATTTGTTGAGCCTCAAGCATAT